TACGAAATATTATCAAGACAAACGTGATAGCGAAGTATTGGCCACCGTAGTCACTATCCTCTCAATAGCATTATGCTTATGCACGGTGGCGCTATTTCCGGTGGATATATTTTTGGTGTCTTCTACAATCAACCCGGAAACCGGTTTAAAACATTCATGGGCTACCAAGGAACAAGTTGAAAGCATTGTGGGTGAACTAAAGTTTGTCTATTATGGTAGGTGGGATTGGACCATTTTTCTTTTTTAGTCGCGCTGTATCTTATGTGTCTCTTAAATTTTTAGGAATGTACGGATTGATTGCGTTATTCTGTGCTGTCCTCATCCCTTTTGCGTATTTTTATTTCGAAGAACTCGAAGAGGACGAAACAAATCAACAGGTGAGTTTTTTTTTTATCCTTGTAGTCTTAATTCGACATTCATCAGTATTGACGAATGTATAAATAGCGTTTCCTAGGGGCATTTAAATATACTGTATTTTTCATTGCATTCATATTTATTTGCTTGATCTTTGGAATTTTCATACAACCTCAAGAGGAAACGCCAATAGATTTAGAGTTTTTCAAAAAGCTTTTGACCGGAACCAGTGTGTTTTTTTTTTTTTTTTTTTATTCTTGTTTCTAACTTCTTTATTACGAGTGACGAATTTTATTCTCTTTTTTCTCAAGTGGGAGAAAGAAGCATTTCATTTGTTATTGCGGTTCTCATGATTTTAGGAATGGCAGTGTCTATTACGTATACTGTAAGTGTTTACGCGATAATTATTGTGATGCTAATAATAATAATAATAATAATAATAATAATAATAATAATAATAATGATTATTTCTTGATAGGCTCCTGGACTTTCCCTTCTCCCTATAGGCATGATCAAAGGAACGAAACAATATGACAGCATGGAAAACATGGAAATTGTTAATAGCCTGGTGCTTAATCGCGAGAAACAAAGGATTATTAGATCGAAATATCAGGGTTCCAACGATACGATGTCGAGAGTTGATACCAAAGAATTGGAAAAGTTACAAGCCGAGGAAAGGTGAGGTATTATATTTTCCATATATTTTTTTGGAGAGTGCACGGTAGTTTAATATATATATATATATATATATATCATTAGGGTTTTAGTTCATCGTTTAAGGGAATCAGAAGCTTCGAGGGTTGGAATATGGAACAAGATTCTATTGATCCTTAGGCCACTTGAAGTAAGTTCACGTATTCAAATTTTTAATCTTTGTATGCGTGTTAACACTTCATGCAATATGTTCATAGTTTGCAGGTGGCATTGTATTGTTGATTCTAACAATCGTGATAGTTCTTTCCATGTTTTTAACTTGGTAAGTCGACAAAAGATTCTATTTGACACAAAACAGTTAATAAATCGATTTTCTTCTTATTCTTGTGTCACAGTATTGATAAAATCAAGAATTCAATTTGTGGAAAGGATTGCGGATACATTATCAGCAATTCAGAAATATTCAATCCCCTCAACTATATTTTTGTCCATTTGTCAAAAGTAAGCTCCTCCGGAAAAAACCCAATGTTATTACATACACTTCTCGAAATTTCTCACCCACTCAACTTTTTTTTTTTTTTTTTAGTATTTCCCGGTCGATTACGTCTTTGCAGTCCTTTTGATCCTTTATTTCTTCAGCAGTACTGTGGTTGGAGTCATATCAATTGGAATTCGTTTCTTGTGGGTTCATCTCTACAAGATTCGCAGAAGTGCAACTCAGCCCCAGGCGTTACTTTTTGTTGCAATGTTGCTCATGTTGAGTTTACTAGCGTTGAATTATACCCTGACAATGGTAGTTGCTCCACAGTATGCGCAATTTGGAAGCCAGAAATACGTGAGCCTGTTATTTTATTTCGTCAATTAAATTACTTGTGGATATTCTGCCTGCCTAATATTCGCACTTGATTTCTTAGTGCAACCATACTGTCAATGGTCTGCGTGACTGTAGTGATTACCCGCAACTAATCATTCCCTGTGACGTCACCGCACCTACAGGTAGATCTCTTTTCGATGATCTTTCAGTTATGAAATTATGACAATCTAACTACTTTAATTAACACGGTATCCGATAGATATTTGTACGCCGACGGTGATTTCAACATTCCTTCACAGGATAATGATGAACACTCCGTTCTTTGGTGTCGTATTTTACTATGCTCAATGGGCATTTTTAGCATTTGTAGGAATTGGTACCATCTGGTCTGTTATTAGATCTAAAAGCAGGGCGCATGGTGACG